ACACTTAGGTTGCTTCCATTTCTTGACTATTGTAAATAGTGCTGCAGTAAACATAGGGGTGCATATGTCTTTTTCAAACTGGGCTCCTGCATTCTTAGGGTAAAATCCTAGGGGTGGAATTTCTGGGTCAAATGGTATTTCTATTTTGAGTTTTTTGAGGAACCTCCATACTGCCTTCCACAATGGTTGTACTAATTTACATTCCCACCAGCAATGTAGGAGGGTTCCCCTTTTTCTACATCCTTGCCAAGATTTAATGTTGTCTGTCTTCTGGATGTTGGCCATCCTAACTGGTGTGAGGTGATATCGCATAGTGGTTTTAATTTGCATTTCTCTGATGATTAGCGATGTGGAGCATCTTTTCATGTGCCTGTTGGCCATCTGAATTTCTTCTTTGGAGAAGTGTCTGTTCAGCTCCTCTGCCCATTTTTTAATTGGATTATTTGCTTTTTGTTTGTTGAGGTGCATGAGCTCTTTATATAATTTAGATGTCAGCCCCTTATCAGATATGTCATTTATGAATATATTCTCCCATACAGCTATCCCTAAAGGCTGTAGGATGCCTTTTTATTCTACTGATGGTGTCTTTTGCTGTACAGAAGCTTTTTAGTTTGATATAGTCCCACTTGTTCATTTTTGCTTTTGTTTCCCTTGTCTGGGGAGATATGTTCATGAAGAAGTTGCTCATGTTTATGTCCAAGAGATTTTTGCCTATGTTTTGTCTAAGAGTTTTACAGTTTCATGACTTACATTCAGATCTTTGATCCATTTTGAGTTTACTTTTGTGTTTGGGGTTAGACAATAATCTAGTTTCATTCTCTTGTGTGTAGCTGTCCAGTTTTGTCAACACCAGTTGAAGAAGCTGTCATTTCCCCATTGTATGTCCATGGCTCCTTTATCATATATTAATTGACCATATATAGTTGGGTTTATATCTGGACTATCTATTATTTTCCATTGATTTATGGGTCTGTTCTTGTGCCAATACCAAATTGTCTTGATTACTGTGGCTTTGTAATAGAGCTTGAAGTCAGGGAGCGTAATTCCCCCTGCTTTATTCTTCCTTCTCAGGATTGCTTTAGCAAATCAATTTTAAGGAAGGCATTAGCTGCTTTTTAGTATTTTCTTATTTACCCGCTATTTTCTCTAGTCTGCTTGTTATGCGCCCATGGTGATTTTTCAGTCTCTTTCTTTTCCACTCCACCACTTTAATCTCATTTTATACTCCTAATATAGGTCTATCTTTAAGTGTTAACTTTTTAAAATAATAACTTCTTTGTTTTTCTTATAGCAGAAGGGGTTTGCAATATATGTAGATAAGCAAGAAAGACAAAATTGAAAGTAAAATTACTTTCACTGTAACTCTAGAGATGAGCATGATAATTTTTCTTAGTATATTCTTTTGTACACAGACACATACATGCACGAACATGTACTACTTTGATTTTAAAAGATGGGATCATCATACTAGACTGCATATTAGTTTGTACCCTTCCTTTTTTTTCACTTAATGTATTGTGAACATGTTTTCATGTCCTTAAGTATTCTTATGCCAGGCAGTTTTTTCTGGCTTCATAGTATTCCATTGCATGGAAATACCATCATTTGTTTGGCCAGTCGTTTTCCTGCTGTTGGGCATGTAACTGATATATCATTAGAGTCCAGTCAGGAAGACATAGCACACCTGTTATTTTCACTGAAAGATTTAATGTTAAAAAAAAAAAGGCTAAACAGGGGTTGGAAGAGTGAAAGGTAAAAGGACAACACTGAAGTGATGGAGATAGTAACTGCAGGAAGCAGCTTCTAGCCCTAGGACATGGGGAACAAAGTGAAGAGGTGGGGATATCAGGAACATAGAGGCTTGAGGAAGAGACCCCATAGAAAGGGAACCTGGACCATGGGGGAGGGGCTGTTTTCCTGGGTGTTCCTCAGGAATTTAGAGGTGAGACTCTGATGAGCTGGGTCAGACCTCTAAGGAGGTACCCTGCTCATCACTGGTGCCTCAGGAGCTTGGACCAAGTACCCCATGGGGGTAGACTCTAATCTGAGCTGGTGACTCTCGCCAGCTGGTGCTGGTAGTTCTGAGGGAGGTACAGTGAGGCTAATTCTGAAATTATGGGGGTGAAAAAACTGTAAACTGGAACCATCTGCTTCTCTCAAGGTGAGGAATGGTTGCTGGGGTGATGCTGACAGGACCAGAGTGCGAAATTGGAAGTGGGAGGTCCAGGCTTCCTCCTCCAGGCTTGTTGTCTCCTCTAGCGCCTCCTAGTGGTAGAACCCAACAGAACGGCTGGAAAAGCAGCAGGGGTTTGCAGAGTGTCAGCCCTAGTATCAAAAGCTGAGTATAGAAGGTGGGTTTGGAGCTGAGAGGAAATTGCTTACTCACCAATATAGTTGGTTTCTCATTTTGAACTTATATAAGAATTTTTGTGGCTATACACACAGCCATATTATTTCCTCATAATAAATTCCTTGAAGTGAAATTGCTGGACCCAGGTATATGCCAATTCTCTCTCTCTCTCTTGCTTTCTGTTTCTATCTCTATCAGTCATGTATGGATAACTGGGTGGGGAGGTCTTATACTTTCTAACTTTCTCCTAATACAAATAAATGTTATTGTTATTGGTTGAAATATATACAATTAGCAAGTTATAAATAACTAGTGGTGATAAGCTGAACTGAAGAAAAATTAGGTAGAGAAATGCTCTTCCCAAAGTTCATGTTGAGTAAATCTGAAATATTCAATCTTCTACCTCAAAGTTCAATTAAATAGTTATATTCTGATCAAATTTTATTTTTTTTCAATTTAAAATATATTGTTTCTTTTTGGTTTCAGGAAGAAAGATATAAGTCACAAAGGCCTTTATCAACATCATATGGACCAAAATTCCCTCTAAGTAATGTAAAGTTGAAGCTAAAGGAGAGTAAACTCAACAGACTACCCCAAGGCATGCAATCCCAGGCATGCTCTCCATATTCCACCAGGCGTTTCTTCCAGGACCAGCCAGCTGGGATGAACCTTGGAAATAATTTCAAAATCTCTGGAGAAAGCAAACCTCCGTTTGTAGTTAGACATGTGAGCCTAAGATTATTTCTCAGAGTCCTTTGGAATAGTGAGGATGTGAATGAGTGGAATATAGTAAGATTGGACCAACAAAACAAATGGGTAATATTAAATAGAGAATTTAAATTTAATAATAACTATGATTGCATCATGTTCACAACCTAGAGTCACTGTCAGGAAAATCCTATAAAGATATCTCACACAGAGGACTTGCTCAGTAAATGTCAGCTGTCCCTATTTTTAATATTTGAAAATTATTAATAGAGTGTGATGTCTACATATGACATCCCACCATTATCCTGTAGAATCAGTGAACTGACAGGTAGAAGATGCATAATAAAGGCTGGCATATACTTTGCACCAACCTAGAACTAAAGTTTCGTCAGTTTTATAGAAAACTGCCTGAATTTTTTTAGTGATGTTGTTGCTCATTGCCCATACTTTAAAGAGCAGGAAAAATGTGTCTCAGGAAGAAGCAATGATGTGCCACCCTCAAGGGCCTTAATTAAAGTTACCTTAGAATTAGTCCTCAGAAAGTAGTGGCCAAGTTTAACCACACTAGTTCTCTTAGTCTTCTTAAAATCTTTTGATTACTATAAAAATAATGGAAAATACAGAAAAGTTTTTAAAAATTACCCATAGGCTCACCACTGTAATAAAAAAATAATTTAATGCATTTTCTTTCACTTCTTATGTTCATAAAGCTTAATTTTTCCAGTTATAATTATACTGTATATGCAGATTAGTTTCTCTATATACAGTCAATATTACATTAAAAGCATTTCCTATATTCAGTCTTCATGAACATCATTCCACATTCCAGTCAATGACTTATTCTTCAGTTGTTCTTATAACTTCAATAGTTAACTATTGTATAATTGTCAAGTTGGTAATATTACTTAAGTCACTAATGGTGATGTTTACTTATTAGACATAAGATATGAAGTGTGACAAGCCCCAAAGTCAAGTGCTGTTGGGACAACTATATACAGAGTTGGTCTGTAGGTAGAACAGAAATGTTGCTTGGCTGGAGACTATAGAATAGCTATTTCCTTCATGATTATCTGAGTAAAATGCCTGTCAAAAATCTACCAGCCAATCCTTAATTATGGTTTCATAAAAATACTGTTGAATTGTGTTATTGGACAGTCTGGTTTTGCCATTTGAAATAAATTTTTGTAAAATACAACTTAAGTCTATGCCATTATGAGCTAAAAACCCTTAACATATTGGTAGATTTTCTTAGGGAATTAAAAAAACCCTTAACATATTGGTAGATTTTCTTAGGGAATTAAACTTGCTTGACATTTATTTTATTTAACAAATTCTGTTACAGCCTTAGTATGTCCAAGCTCTTTTCTAAGTGCTTTATACATATTAACTCTTTTATTTGGTTGGATTTCCTGGTTATATCTGATGCTTCTTTAAGTAGAAGCATTAAAATTTAGAGGACCTAATGTAAAACCTGTAGATTCTAATCAATATATTTCTTCAAGTAGAATTAAGAGTAACATTATAACCTGCCTTTGGAAAATTAAAATAAAAAACAAAACCAGAAATAAGATTAAAAAAATCCAGTAACTCTATGTCATACATACTCTTGAAGAGTCCCTATTTCAAGTATTTTGACATATTGCAAATCATGTTCAATTTAGGAAAATATGGCCACCATAAGTAAAATAATGCAGTCACCACTCTTCTTTCTTTCAAAGATACAGATGTTAGACAGGAAGGAGATGTAGAAGCTGACATGTCACCTGTGATCATCCCTTGTCTTCAGGAAGGACACAACCTGAGCCAGCTCTGCTCAGACTGTTTAGGAACATGAAACTGTCTGGTTTCAAAAGATGGCAAAATAAACTTCACTTGCCCTTTCCTGGGCTCAGTCCTTAACCAGTGGTTAGAATATAATTTGTGTCTAACTTTATGCTAATGTTTAGCCCATATCTCTGTGTTGTAGCCTCAGTGGAGATGGGGACAACTTCCTTGTTGGGATAACACTTATTATACCTGGAACAAATTATAATTTGTTCCCAGTCTTTGTTTTTCTCACATGCATGACCTCTGATGGAGGGGGCAAAGGCATTAGAGGTAATGAGAAGAGAGTAATACAAGCTATGGTGGATTCAAGTCTTATTTCTTTCCTTTATTTTCAGGTGGACAGCACAAAGCCTTTTGGTGAAGCTATTTCAGAGCTTCATTCCCAGAAATCTAGGAGAAAATCTAAGTTTTCAAATTTTCCATTTCCAATGAGAAGAGGTATTGAAGTTTCTTGTTACTCCTGAACATTTCTTTATGGGAACCAATCCATCTTCTAAATCTTCTTTCATTCTGAGGAATCACAAGTTTCTTTGGCAACTTGGGGCCTAATTCTTAAGTGCATTCCAGCTGTGGAGTTTCCAGGGAAAGGGTCCCCGTGGAGCAGAGGCAGCCGAGAAGCTGTCTGTTTCAGCATTTCCCTGGCTATTGACAGAGAATACACTGAGCAGTGTGGTCACCAACTGTGCTCTGGAGACACTTCCCTGGCTGGTTGTGAGAAGCTGGGAGCAGCTTTTCCTGGTGTGAACTCCTTCCAAAGTCACTATTAATAGCTAACAGATAAGATTTTCCAGTTCTGTGGATGAGAAAGAGCCAGGGATTGGTAGAGATGAGAAGATACATTTACCTTTACAAGATTCCATGTCAGTGAGGAGGGGAGCCAACTCCATCTGAAGCAGTTAGGTTAAGGTAGGGGATCACAAATATTTGGGTCTCAGGACCCTTTTGCATTCTCAAATATTATTGAGGATCCCAAAGAGCTTTTGTTTATGGGGTGATATATATTAATATTTAGTGTATTAGAAGTTAAAACAAATTTATAAAATTCAAGAATACATAAGTGCACATTCCATTAGCCATGAGTGGTGACATCATGATGCATCATGTAGCTTTGGAAAACTCCACTGTACAATTGTGAGAGAGTGAGAGTGAAAAAGAAGACTCATGTCTTAGTATTATTGTTGCTGGGCAGCTGCATCTGGGGGTTTTTTCCCTGTGCACTAGGTAAAGCACTAGGAGAAACCTCAACCTGGACAGGCGAGGGATTTTGACTCTAAACAAGAAAGAATTCTTGAGCAGGTCCAAAGAATGTAAGGAAGGAAAGAATTCATTAAAGTGTAAGTAGCAGGGATTGGTAGCTGCCTTGCAGGCAGCAGAGAGCAAGGAAGATGAGAGAAAGGAAAGGGAAGCTCAGCATAGGGCAGATCCCTTGCCAACTCCTAAAGCCAGGGTCACCTGGCATCCAGTGTCTGCTTGGATCTGCACGGTGTGGGGACTAAGCCCCTACCACCCCAGGATTTGGGGAGCAGCAGAGCACTGGATGGAGTGAGATTATGTTCTGTGAACTTCCCAAGGGCAAAAAAAGGAGATTTTTGGGCAGGCTACTACAGAGCATGATCATAAAGCTGCAGTCCTGTCTGTGTCAACCAGGCAGCAGGAACTTGTAAGCCCAAATCAGGGCTCTCAGTAGCCCCTCCCTACTTACCTAAAGTAGAACAGAGACAGAATGAAGACTTGTATGTAAGTCTCAAAAATGCGAAGAAATAGCAAAGTGACAAAGACACTGCTGTAACAGTGCAGAGACAAAACAGCATAAGTTGAGCAGCGAGAAGGCTTTATTTAAAAAGTACACACTCAAAGAAAGGGGAGTGTGGGCAACCTCAGAGAGGAGGTGCACTTAAGGGCTCAGGATACTGTCTTTTGAAGCTTTGAAGAAGGGCAAGTGGTGGCAAGGTGGGGGATAGGGGTTGGTTGTTGAGTGTAGGCTTGACTTGTGGTCTCATGGTGTCTCTCTCTGCTGAGAGACATTATGTCACCATCCACAGTCAGTTCTCTAGATAATTCTGTAATATAAAATTAACACAAGGACTTTATTGATCCGGTTCCTCTCCAAGATAGTGGTTTCCCTCAAGCACTGGGAACATAGTAGTTAGGACTGCTTGCGCTGCCTTAAGATAGGTTGTTGGCTGATTACCAAATAATATGTTAAGAATCTTATTTCCTAACTCCCTGGTTTCTAAAATGGAATCTCAGCCTTAAGATAGAGTCCCTCTTGTTCTTACTGTATTTATATCTTGGCATTTATCATCATAGGCAGGAAAAGTTAATCATGGTGCTTGTCCCATGATTCCTACACTGCCCTACTTCATTATTAGAACAGTTTTGACCTTGTAGATCTAAAAGTTGTATGGAGGCCCCTGGATCACATGTTGAAAGTCACTGGGGTAAGGCATCCCTTAGAGGCCTTTACCTTATGATTGAAATACCCAAACTATGTTAATACTGAGGGCTGTGGTAGTGAAGTTCAGCTATTCCTGAACTTAATAAAAATTCTTAGGCTAGAAAGGGGTAGTGGTGGCCCATTCTCTTGACTCCTGGGGAGATTGGACCTATGTTATCCCTGATGACATGGCTCCCTATTATAGGCTTAAAGTTTTTTACTTCAAGGGGCTGTATAGTCTCTTGTGGTAATTAGGCCAATGTTCTTGGATCATGGTGACTGTTAGCAGACAACCAAGGACACAGTACAGGGTTTGAAGCTGAAAGTGCTTTTTCGCCTCTGACATTTAATTTAAGTCTTCTGGATTGGAAATCACCATGTAGCCTATAAAAGCATCACTGCCTTCCCTGTTACTGTAAAGTCAAGAAACAGCAAATCTCCTTTCCCGGGAAGTTCAGGTTGTGCTTAATGCTAGCTCATTTATAGTGGGACTCACACATGACATTGGTCTTGGCCTCTGTCTTTTCTTAATCCTGGCAGGTGGAGAACTAAGGTTCCAGAGAGGTTACACAGTGTGTACAGGTCACACACCAAGTTTTTGGCATACCTACATTTAGGGAAGACGTTCAGACCTCTGGGCTCAGATCGTTGGAATCCCTGTAGCTTCCAAGCCAGACCTTTGCTTAGGCCACCTGTCAGCTCATTCATCCAGGCCTAAGGTAGAATAAAGTAGTGCATTTGAATCATCCGGGGATCTTGTTAAACTGCAGATTCTGATTCAGTAGGGCTGGGGTGTGGCCTGGGGCCCTTCTTTTCTAACAAGCTTCCAGGTGATACTGATGCGGCTGGTCCACAGACTGCACTTTGAGAAGCAAAGGAACAAGGGCAAGGGCCCTGTAAAAGAGAGTCCTCAAAACCAGTAGCAAGGGGTTTCCTACCAAAAGGGCAGGTTTGTGGCTATAGCTGAAGAGTGCCTTAGCAGTGCCAGGTCCCTGATCAGTTGGGAGTGGGAGAGAAGAGCTTCTGAGATAAGATGGACACATGCTATGTGCATGCCCAGAGGGTAGGACAATTACCAGGCTTTGAAAATCCCTTTTTGTAACTGCCTTTTCATTGCCAGTGGCTTAGGGGAGTCAGCAGTCCAGGAAAAGCTTCTTGTCATTGCTTAAGCCCCAGTCAAACTGGGGGAAGCCAATGTGGCCTTAGCATAGTCTTGCAAATACTCATTTCAAAAGCATTATTTTCTCAACCTGGAAAAATCCAGTTTACTCCTAGTTTTGTCTTTGTGTATTTAGTACTCACTTCCTAATCATTCTTCCCATTCTCTGGCATTAGATTTACTTATTTAGTGCATTAGGGTAATCATAAGGATTTATGCTTTTCCTGCAATTATGTTTTTCTTAGCTCTTATGTATTTTCTCAGTTTGTGTCTCCCTCCAATAAATATATTTGAGTTCCTGCATAAATAGAATCCCATGTAAGACAAATAGGAAGGAAATGGTAGAAGAGGCAGAATATACCAGTTTTACACTAGAGCCTTTCTTTTCTTTTAGTCTCTGGGCACCTGGGCAAATATGAGTTTTCCATCAGACTGCTAGTGGGTTACTGAACCCATTGTTTTACCTTAGACTCTCTTTTACCCTTCTCACATTCATATGTGCTGCTAGTAATATATAACTTCATTCATAACCTCAAGAGGACAGAAAAACTATATAGATAAAATTGCTGTGACTCAAAGGAGACTCAAAGTGACTGTGATTTACAAGTGTGATTTACATGGGAGCATTTATGTTTAATAGTTCATTCATGTGTAATATTTTTATACTGCTGTGGAATAAATGTAACATCAGTTTTAGGGGTAACTGGTAATAATGAGTCATTGAAACACCTGTTCCTCTTTCTTTTAGCTTCTTCTCTTGACAGCCTTGCAACTAACATAAAGGTAATTTTAGAAGTAGCATTTGTAGAATGATTTATTTTCAGCTATCTAATGTTGATAATTGTACATTCTCCAATGAGTGCTGGGAAGTATATTTCTAGCTAGTGCTACTTAGGAAATTGCTACAGTTTCACTAGAGTTTAAGAGGTGCCCAGGCTCTACTGTACACTTTCCTTTGCCTTGTATTAGTTGGTTTGTTCCCCTCATATAAGCTCTTTTCATTCGTAGGATCAGTCACGGATGAGGGTATGTATTGCCCCAGTATCTACTTTATCAGGAGGACTTTCATTGCTTTTCCACTAGTTGAATACTTTTATGCATAGAGGTGGTAAAACACTCATGCCTGAAGTTTGATTAGTTTGTCAAAGTGAAGGTGCAGACTTCTATGTCTTCTAACACTTCTATGTTGCAACATGAGAATAGATACATGCAAGAACATGGACTATACTGTGCTTCTTATGCCATAGCACTTAAATATTTTATTAAAAAATTATAGTTTATGAAACCAAATAATCCCCACTCCTCACAAATCAAAGCTTAGAGCCTGAATTTCTTTTGGTTTGTTAATACATGCCAAATGTGCAAAATTTTGGATATCTTTCCTTGACATTGATTCCTGAGTATTTTGTCTCTGGTATTGTCTAGTCCCACTCTATTTTACTGTAAGAGTTCCCTGGGGTAGGCATCATCTTGCTCCCAGGTCTCTTCCTTGTTCTACCCCATCCCTAGCTCTAAGCAAACAAAAGCAAAACTACAACTCAAGAATAATGCATATTGTCACTTAGGTTGTCAAAGAGCCAGATGAACGGATCGTTTTAAGGAATGAATCACCATCATCTTTAGATTCAAGTAAGTTTGGAAAACCCTCGCCCAGTTACAGTAACAAAGGGGATGCTGATTTCCATCAGGGAATTTCATTTGCCACCTTCCAGCATTCCAGATCGCCTAGCCCTCTTCTGGATCAGCCCTTTCTCTGAGAAAGGTCAGCAGCAACCCTCCACCTCTTTGCTTGAAGAGTGTGTTGTGTTCTGGCAGGAGTAAAGCCAGTTCATTTCATCAGTTTGCTTCCCTAGGAGTATTCATCTGGGGACACCTTTATGTGAAAAATTATTATTCTTTTAAAAATCTTTCTGAAAGTAAGAGTTGAGTCTTTTTTCTTGCCTCTGGAGAGCTTATCTCAAGATGTTTGTTGAAAATGGGACAGGCAGACAGCTTGACATTGGTACTGTTTATCCATTTTTATCTGTCATAAATTTAAAAAACTCAAGCTTTTTATTTCACTAGTATTAAAGAACTCACTACAGAAAGTTTGGAAATTACAGAAAAAAAAAAAGAAAAGAAAAAATCACCCACAGTCCTGCCACCCCAAGACAAACATTATTAATCTGTGGGTATATATTTTTTCTCTTTTTCTAAACATGGTTTGTTGTTTGTTTATGCTATTGTTACAAGCAGTAAAAAAAATCATGGTTGCATATGTCTGGTCTGCAGGTCAGAAATCAGCAGGAAAGGAACTTTAATTTTCCAAACTGCACACTCTAGTAAGGCGACAACCATCCATTTTGCCTGCAACTGTCCTTATTTTAACCCTGAAAGTCCTGTATTCTGGGGAAACCCTTAGGCCCAGGCAAACTAGGACAGTTTTTTGTTACCTTAACTCCAGGGAAATGGCACTGCAGATAATATTTTTAAGACAGTTGTTTTATTTGGTTGTTTTGTTTTGTTTTTTAATTGAGGTATAATGACATACAAAATTATTTTAGTTTTAGGTATACAACATAATGGTTTGACATTTATACATATTACAAAATAATCACCATAATAAGACTAGTTAACATCTATCGCCATACATAGTTACAGACTTTTTTTCCTTGTGATAAGGACTTTTAAGATTTACTCTCAGTGATCTTTCAAAGATGCAGAACAATATTACTAACTCTAGTTGCTGTGCTGTACATTATATCTTCATGACTGATTTATTTTGTAACTGGAGGTTCATACCTTTTGCCCACCCCCACCTCTGACTCTGATGACCACCAATCTTTTTTCTGTATTTTGAGCTTTTTTTCTTTCTTTTTTTTTATTATTTTAGTTTTAGGTATACAACATAATGGTTTGACATTTATACATATTACAAAATAATCACCATAATAAGACTAGTTAACATCTATCGCCATACATAGTTACAGACTTTTTTTCCTTGTGATAAGGACTTTTAAGATTTACTCTCAGTGATCTTTCAAAGATGCAGAACAATATTACTAACTCTAGTTGCTGTGCTGTACATTATATCTTCATGACTGATTTATTTTGTAACTGGAGGTTCATACCTTTTGCCCACCCCCACCTCTGACTCTGATGACCACCAATCTTTTTTCTGTATTTTGAGCTTTTTTTCTTTCTTTTTTTTTAAGATTCTGCATATAAATGAGATCATATGGTTTTTGTCTTTCTCTGTAAGACAGTTGTTGAGGATATGCCAGTCTGCTTTTCTCTGCATTGTTAGTGATGAGCAAAGGGAGTTGTAGTGAATATCCCAGAATGAAAGTCAAAGTGAAATGAAAACCCTAAAATTTTAATAGGAATTATATTGAGTTGAGGTAGACTGTGGCAATGCATTCTTAGTGTTTTTCAGAAATGATAGAATAGCTTTATATTAAAATGTTAGCTCATGGACTTAAAGAAACCAAATAAAATATTTTAATAAAATCTAAAATGGTGAGTTCTTGATTAGTTACTTTATTGGAAGAGATACTATGCAATAGATTTTTAAAAAGCACCTTTGGCACTCAGCAATAGGTGTTCAAAAACACATTTACACCGCTCTCTGCACCTGGCCTTCATCTCCATCTGGTTTATCCTCTGGATGTAATTACTGAGAATTGATTTGAGTTGATGGATGGGAGGTGAGAAGGCATGGGGCATTGTCAGCTTCTAGAAGTTAGACAGTGGGGAAACTGTGGGTGCTAAGGCTGAGGGTTTGAGGGGACCATGGAAGCCAAGCTAAGAAGTTTGGGCTTTGTTGGAAAGTTGTGGGGATCTTTTGCAAGTTTGGTCACAGGAATTAGCACAATTGAGTATAGGGTGATGATTCTGGCTACAGACAGGTTTTTTTGTCTCTCTCTGATGAGTCAGAAATTCTAATGCCCAAAGTCACTGTAAACTGATAACTTGGGAACTAAATGAACTATGGATTTGTAAATAAGGCCATGATCAACAGCAATAGAGAGTAATCTGCCTAGGGCTGTCCTGGTTGTAGCCCTGAAAAATCCTGTATTCTGGTAAACCCTTGAGCCCCAGGCAAAGTAGGACAGTTAGTCACCTAAACTCAAGGGAAGTGGCACAAAGATAGTAATTTTAAGACAGCTGTTTTGAATGAAGGATATTCCTTTGGGTCCTTGGGGAAGAACCTATTTCCTGTTGACTTCAAAGTGACCCACAGGGGCAGCCCCTGGAACATGAGGTGCAACCAGTTCTTTAACCCCACCTTGCTGATTGTTCTTTTCACATCAGCACCAATGAGACCAGTCTCCCTGTGCCCAGGTCATGGGAGTGCCTGAGAAATACCTTTTCAGTTTCTTCTAACTTAATACAGAAATCAGGAAGGGCCAAGGTTGCAGGTGACTTGGGAATTAAATTTTGTAGGTAGAGGAGGGGCTTAAAGATGGCAGTATGAGAGGTGAGACAGAAACCTCCTCCCAAAACCACATATAATATGAAAATACAGCAAATACAACAAATCCTAAAGAAGCAACAGCAAAGAAGGCTACAACAGACTGCCTATACCCGGGGAACAGAGCAGACCTCACGGAAAAGGGTAAAGTACCAAAGCTGTGATCCGGCTTGACCTAAGCCCTTCCCCCAACCAAGCTCATGGGTGAGAGGAAGAGAAACAGAGCAGGGAGGGGTTGGAGGCCTAGGACACCCAGCCCTAGAGATCTGCTCTGGGAAGCACAAACTTATGTTACATGGTGCTCTGGAGATTAGTGGGGTTGGAAAGCTAAGACAGGTGGAATACTTGGAGAGACTGAGATTGCAGCTGCTTGTGTAGAACAGGTACCCACAACTGGCTGCTCTGGGACAAGAGAAAGGTTTCCCAACAGTGAGAGGGATTGCACACAGCTTGATGCTTAGGAGAAAGGACAGGTGGGCAGAATTGTCCCAGTGCACTCAGCCCAGCAAGTTGGGAATTTTCAGGAGCTTCAGGAACTCTATACCCCTGGGTGGCAATGCAGCTACGAGGCCCCCCAATACAATATGCAGCCTGCTGCTCCTTCCTCTCAGCAGGCACCAGATCACAAATCAGCTGCCCCCACCATTGTGCCAGGTCCGCCTACAGCAGCTACAAGTGCATAGCATAGAGACTCCTCCCAGCATGCTGGGCCACTGGCCTTGGCAGTGGAGGCAGGCATGCAGGTGGGAAGCAGGAAAGAGGTATTTTCTCCTGGCAGGCACAAGCGCCATTCACCTGCAACCTCCATCGCTCCAGGGGCTGAGCAGCTCCAGGGAGTACAGCTTTTGGGCACCAGAGGGCACCACCTACAAATATGAAATGTCAAAGGAACCTGGTTCAAACCAAAATCCCACAAACACCAGAAAGAGTACCAAGTGAAACTGAGCTCACCAATCTTCCTGAAACAGATTTCAAAAAAAAATCATAAACATGCTCAAAGAGCTACCGAAAAATATTCAAGCCCTCAGGGAGGAATTCAAGAATCAGATACAAACCTACAAAAATACAATATCTGAAATGAAACACACAATGGAGGGATTTAAAAGCAGATTAGATGAAGTAGAGGAGACGGTAAATGAAATAGAAATTAGAGAACAGGATTAAAGAAGCTGAGGCACAGAGAGAAAAAAGGATCTATAGGAATGAAAGAATATTGATAGAAATGTGTGACCAATCAAAATGGAAAAATATTTGCATTATAGGGGTACCAGAAGAAGAAGAAGAAGAGAGAAAAAGGGATAGAAAATGTCCTTGAGGAGATAATTGCTGAAAACTTCCTCAACCTGGGGAAGGAGATAGCCTCAGACCATGGAGGTGCTCAGAACTCTCCAGACAAGGAACCCAAGGAAGACAATACCAAGACATATAATAACTAAAATGGCAAAGATCAAGGATAAGGACAAACTATTAAAAGCAGCCAGAGAGAGAAAAAAAATCACATATAAAGGAAAACCCATCAGGCTATCATAAGACTTCTGAACAGAAACCTTACAGGCCAGAAGAGAGCTGCGTGATATATTTAATGCAATGACACAAGCCCTCAACTAAGAATACTCTAACAAACAAGATTATTTAAATTTGAAGAAGCCATTAAACAATTTCCAGATAAGCAAAAGTTAAAAGAATTTACCTCCCACAAACCATCTCTACAGTGTATTTTGGAGGTCTGCTATAGAAGGAAGTGTTTCTAAGGCTAAATAGCTGTCACCAGAGAAAATAAAACCACAGTAAAGAAAGCAGACCAACTAATTACTAAGCAAATGCAAAATTAAATCAAAGACCCCCAAAGTTAGTCAAGGGATAGATAAAGAGTACAGAATATGATACCTAATATATAAAGAATGGAGGAGGAAGAAAAAGGAGGAAAAAAAAGAACCTTTAGATTGTGTTTGTAATAGTGTACTGAGTTAAGTTAGGCTGTTAGATAGTAAGGAAGTTACCCTTGAACCTTTGATAACAACGAATCTAAAGCCTGCAATGGCAATAAGTATATATCTACTGATAATCACCCTAAATGTAAGTGTTCTGAATGCACCGATCAAAAGATATAGTCACTGAATGGATAAAAAAACAGGACCCGTCTATATGCTGCCTACAAGAGACTCACTTCAAACCC